GGGTCAAGAGCCCAAGAGGAACCCCTGAGAAGAGTGCTGCAGAGAAAGGAGAAGAGCCAGAGAGCTGGGACTGCAGCAAAGATTACAACAATGGGTATCCTGCAGATGCTGCAGATCCTGCAGGTGAGGATCTGAAGGGACCAGAATTACCCTATCAGTTGCGGAATTATATTCTGGTGTGTAGGAGAAAGACTGGGAGCAAGAATTCCCCCCCAGCCCCCCTTCACTCCACAGAGGCTCCAACTCTGCCTTCCTGGGTGGCCTTTGGCAAATAACCTGCTCCATCCTGGCTCCAGGTTTCCTATTTGTACAAGCTGGGATGAGTGGGTTCTTCTCTCATTTCCAGAGCTCTCTGGACCCCCATCTGCAGGGGTACATGGAAAAGGAAAAATTAAGTCCAATAACAATAATTACTTTTCTCCTTCCCATGGGTGTTGTAAGGATTAGCTCATGTTTAGCAAAACCCTCTGTAAGTGCTAAACATTATTAATGTTCTTGGATTGCTCCAGGAGCAAATGTGGCTTTCCAGGGAGTGACGGGGTTTTTCCCTTGGCTGGCACGCAGCTGCAGTGAATTCCTCACAGCCCAAGGAAAGCAGCATCCCATTCCTGTCAGGCTCAGGGTGTAGAAGAGTGTCTACAGCACAGAGCAGTACTCACCTTGTTTCCATCAGCCTTTGAGAGGTGAAGGCCACCCCTTCTTGCATCAATGCACAACCAGCAGTACCCTGGAGGAACATGCATCCCAGGGAGCCTCTCTGAGTGTGGGGCCCTAATAAGGGCTCATCTCACCAGTGTGGCAAAGGGCATCTCCCAGGCTGCTCCCAGATACACCACGAGGTGGGATAGCCCCTGGAGGGGACATGGGTGCAACAATGCCTCGAGACCACCCAGCAGCTGAGGCCACAGATCAGGTCAGAGCCACAGCACAGCTTATGAGTTTGAGTGTCCTGGCTCAAGTAGGGGTGCAAGGGTGGGGGTCAATTCATGCCCCTGGCTGTCCTAAGTGTCCTAACACACAGCAGCTCTGTGCACCAGGAGTATTTATGTTCCTGCTAAGTGTGGAAAAGCAATGCACACCACCTAATGCTGGAAAGCCTGGGGGATATGACAGATAGATTCTCTTTTCCAGGCTCTGGTGCTGGAAAAAGACACCAAGTCCTCACAGGAGAGGAGACTGGCTTGTGACTGGTTCAGCCATGCCTGACTGCTCCAGCAAATGTCCCTCCTGGGGACCCCCAGCTCTCTGGGCAGAGATACAGGGTGCCAGAGCTCCTCCAGCTGCCAGACCTTGTCACCCTGGCTCTCCTGCCCTGCAGAGCTGGGGCTGACTCTTTGTGACCCCTTCTCCCCGTGCTGACTCAGCCATGCCCCCGTGGTGGGTGGCCACAGCCCCGGGTGGGACGGCATGAAGGTAAAGGCAGTATGGACTGGCAGGCTTTCAAAGAGGCCACAAGCTAAATAAATAGCCAGCAGCCTATTTCAGTGGCTGCTATATTTAGCTCAAGGAACATTTATTTATAGGCTTGGCAGCCTTTCTGAGTCAATAAAAGCCAGAGAGCTGGAAAAAGGACGTTCCTGGGTTTCTCGTTGCAGTAATGGTTTGTGCTGTGCAAACCATGAGGAACAAGAGGAGAGGGGAGGAAGCTGTGCTGGCTGCACACCCATGGGTGCCTCTGCCAGGGGACAGAGCCTCTACACACCTACTGCCCCAGGTAAGAGCAGCTTCACCTGGGTTTCCTCCCACCTGGTTGCTGCTGCCAGTCCCCTGGCACGGAGGGAGTGCCTCTGTGAAACATGAGAGGATTTAATTGTGCCTGTGGAGATAGTGACACAAGACATCAACTCTGGGGACTCTACTGCAGCACTACTCTTCCCCTGGGTAGTGAGTTTGGAAAAACTAAGCCAGGGGCAGGTAAATTGGGAGGGAGATGGGAGCAGTGTTCATGTTTCTCTATTAAATAATTGTCCCTTCCCATGTCACATATGGCAACAAGTGGTTGAGAGAGGAGGACAAACAGCCTCTCTGGAGCTGCTAGGGGTGTCAGATGCACAGGAGGCCAAAGCTGCACACTGAGCTTCTACCCCAACAGCAGGTGATGGCAGTAGTTTTGTGAAGCTTTACAAAACACCCAGCAGTTGCAGCTGGATAAGGGGAATGCATTTATAAAAGACACAGGGGTTTAGCCCAGCCTGTAGAAAGCAGCTGTGAGGATGGATGTCCCTTCTGCATACACGTCAATAAGTGCTGAGGCTTTCTGGAACCAGAGCTGCAGGGAGCCTGCTCACGCCTTCTCCTCCCTCCAAAGCAAACCTGCTGCAGGGGGGAGCAGGGAAATGCCTCCACCAGCCTCCACTTGGGCACAGTCCAGTCAAAATGGGGCTGCTGCTTGGCTCCTGCCAGCTGCCCCTGAGCACAGCATGGCTCAGTTTGCCATGGGTGAGGAGGGAATGTTTATAGTGTTTTGCTGTAGTGCACAGCAAGTGTGTGGCTACATGTTGCTATTGTGTCAGGAGCAAGGTGGGAGCAGAGCACAGCTGGGAAGCAAAATAATAATAATGATAGTAATAACAATAATAAAACCAACAATAGTATATTTCAATGCAAACAGTGCATATCTTTGTGCTCTTTAGCCTGGTGATCTGTACCATTATGTACACGTGTCCCCATATGGAGCAGGACAGGGACAGTCCTTTCCATTAGAAAGGGGATGCTTAGACACCTGACTACAGCTTCAGAGCCCCTAGAGTGGCAGTTTGCAGTATGAGTGCCCATGAATGCCCCCATTAAGTTTTATGCCACTACTCTCTCAGCCATGAGCCTTACTTCTGCTTTGAATTAGTGCAGCTGCAGCTTTCAGCTGCTGGGCCCTGTGCATACACACGGGTCTGGCTGTGCATCCAGGTCTGGCTGAGCCCAGGTCTGCCTCTATGTCCAGCTCTCCACCAGCTCTAGGCCCCAGCACTGCAACCAAAGGTCCACTGCCCTCCCCAGACTCCCAAAGAGCCCCATCCTGAGAAAGTCTGACCCTCAAAAACCAAGGCTGACACCAGCTGTTAAAACACCTATTCGGGTATTTATTACAACACGTTGTTCCAAAATACAAAAGAAAGGAAAAGAAAGTAGAGGGTAGAAAAGCACTGCTGTTTACAGCCTCTGGTAATAAATAAATAAAGACGAGGCAGGGGCAGAGTCTCTCCCCGGCTCCGACGCTGGCACTGGCCGAATGGACAGCGAGGAAGGGAGTGTGGTGGGGCTGGAGGCCAGACCCTCTCTTCCATGCTTGGGAGTCCCCAGGTACACCAGGGTGGGTACAGACCCCCTCTCTGTGTTGTGCTTGCTGAGGAAGGGTCTGATCCTACAGGGATGAGGAAGGGAGAAGAGGGCCAGTCCCGGCATGGTCGGAGCCTGCCTGCTCCCTCCCTGTCCCACGGCTGCTCCAAAGGCAGGTGAGGTAGGAAGGGTGATGCTGGACCGGGACCCCAACAGAGATCTACCAGGGTCCCCCAAGAGAGGGGTGAGACCTGAGCTCTCTCCTCTCCAGTGTGGTCACAGAGCAACCTTGGAAATGTGTTCAGCACAGCATGATGAGAAGGACCCCAACCCATGACAAAGCGAAGTCATGACAGAGACAAGAAACTGTGCCTGGGCCACTTGGAGAAGGGCAGTGTTAAACGCCGCAAATGAAAATGACTCTTCACGGGGCTGGCGCAGTACAGGGAGTGTTTTGTACCACAGTGCAGATGGGGGTCCTCTTCCCTTCCCCTAATGTCTCCTCCTACACCTTACAGTCATCTGAAAAGCTCCAGGTTGTACAAGGAGCACAGGCAATGGGTGCAAAAAACCAGCACCAGTGTCTGTCTGCTTATGACACCACGATTTATCAGTGTTTGATAAAGACCACACCAAGGCCCATGCTGGGAGCTATTCCCAGCCTGTCTAAATCCCTCCAGGTACCAGAGGCCTCTCACATGTCTGCTTGTGGCTCTGCCACTGGGCTTGTTCTAGCACTGTCCATGTGTCTTCTCCAGGCTGTGCTGCTCCTGGGCAGGGGAATCACCAGCATGAGGAGGACACTCAAGCCCAGGAAGGCCAGGGCACGTGGCTAAAGCAGCAGCCAATGTCCCCAGCTCAGCTGAGCAGGACAGCTTTGCAAAGCAGGTGTGATGCCAGGGCAAGAAGCCCCTGTGGGTGAAGATGCAGCCTGCAGCTGCAGCCAGCTGGAGAAGGTGAGAGGACCATGACCTGGAGGGAGCTGACTCCATGAACTGGATGCCTAGCCAATGCTCCTTAAAGCTTTAAGCTTTTACCATTTAATCCTCTGTTGTTGGTGCCAGTGGGTTCCTGCCTCTTGCAAAGATGGGCAGGAACGTGTATGGGGGAGAGGAGCTGCGGGAAGGGAAGAGTTAAGGGAATGGATCTGCCCCGGGTTTGGGTGCCTTTATATCCTCAGGAAGCACCTCCCTCCAGCTCCTCTGACAAGGGTTTGCCTCCTGAGGCTTGGGGCAGCTGGGAGTCAGCCGCAGCCGGGCTGCGGGGAGCAGAGAGAAGGTGAGATGGGGCCTTGCTTTTATTCACAACAGAGAAACAAAGAGCAACATACAAAGAGTAAGAAGCAAAAAAGTACAGAATCATAACCATAATAATCATAATAATAATCATAAATACTCAAATCTATCATTCATAGATTGCAATGACAACACTGATAGCTTATTATCATTAGTATTAAGAATGGGAGGGGAAAGGGGACAGCAGGAGGGGTTTCTGAGGGGCATTGTCTCCTAAGGGGCAGATGTAACGGGGATGGACATCTAAAGAAACAAGCAGACAAAGGGAAGGGCTGGGAAAGCAGCAGGGGCTGGGGGTGCTGCTGCTGAGGCCAGGGACGAGCCTGCTCTGACCCAAGCCTTTGGCTCAGTGTTGCCAACCTGATCACTGCCCTCCTGCCAGCTTTGCTCAGCTGGGACAGAGGTGGCCGGGAGGCTCAGCCCTGAGGACAGGCAGAGGCTGGAGGGAAAGGAGCAAAATGTCCTTTCTAATCTGAAGGAGAGCTTTGATTTGCTCAGTCCTTCACGTGGTGGTAAGTGCAGGCATTGCCATCGGATACTCAGCAGCTTTGTTGGTTCCTCCCTTGAAAGAAGAGACCTTTCCTCTCCTCTGCTCACACTTCCACCTCTGTAGGTCCCTACAAATGAATGCACCCTCATCAGATCGGCATGGAAAGGTGACTTTTGGTTCCAGTGAGGCTTTGGGATGGGTCAGCTGGCTGTGAGAGCCCACAAAAAAGACTTGGCTGACAGATGATGTGGAGGATTACCACCCAGCACATCCGTCCTCATGACAATTCACAGCTCTCTGACTCATGGACAAAGTGGTTCATTAGACAGAGTTAGATTAAAAAAAAAAATAAGTTAATTGCATGCCACTTGGTGACCCTGATGGCTTTGGATCAGGATGGGCAGGAGACACTTGGGCAGGGCTGCTCCATCAAGGCTTATTTTCTGGATATAGACTTAAAATATTGTATATATGAGGGTTTCTGATGCACATGCCCAATGTAAAGGAGAGGGATGAATGCAAAGGCTGCAGAGGTGGGTCATGAATATCTATGATCTACAAATCTTAAAATATACTTATCTTTGTTCTGATTTCAGAGAAGAGAGGAGTCCACAGTGTGTAAAACCTCAAACAAGTCTCAGAAGCATCCAGGCGATGGCAGAGTGTAGATGACAAAAAGCAAACCACTGCCTCTTTGCAGACATTCAGGGTCTCATTTGCAAAATGCGCCCTCTCCTTCCTGACTTCAGGTCAGCAGCTCCATCTCCTTTTTGGCGCTTGCAACACACTGTGTCACTTAACAGGAGGAATGAGATGGGAGCTTGCTAGTGCTTTGTCTCATCTCCCCACCTGGTTTTGGCCACCTGTTGTCCTTTCTATTACATTCCTTGGGAAGCCATTTAACCTCTCTCCATTGCTCAAACCTACACCAGCTCCTGCCAGCAACTTGCCTGACCTGAGCTCAGTAAGTCCATGCTGGCACCAACCCTGGAGGACCATGGGATGGGCAGGGACTGAGTGCTACGGGGCAGAGATCAGCAGACAATCACCACTGGCATGCTTGGGAAGAGACGCCACCACTGAGGCCAGAGAAGGGGAAGGAGGACCAGACTCCTTGGACAGGAGGCAGGTGACACTAACACTATGCCCAGCGAGGAGGCACCAGAGGAAGGATGAAGCCTTCTTCTTCTCCCTCCTTGGACTTGACACTGATGCCTGCTTAGGACAGCCTGCTGCAAGTGGAGCTCCTGAAATAGCTGCCTGGCTCATGGGATGGACCTAAATGCCTTCTGGAGTCCAGAAAGGGAGTTTAGGAAATAGTGTCATCACTGCTTCACGATGAGAAGAGAGCAATGTTCAGGTTGGCAACACTGAGCAGGTTTGAGGTGGTTGCTGGAGGCAGTGATGGGTGGTGGTAGGCTTTTCAGGACTGACTCTGAGCTCTCTCACTCTCATCCAAAGTGATGTGGGGAGGGGAGCAGGTGGTCCGTGGCTCTCCAGCCACCCCCATCCCTCCCTGCCACACTGTGGGGAACGACCCAGGAGCATGTGGGGGTCCCCAGCATCTCACCAAAGAGCTCCATGGAAAAGCAGAAAAACTAAAGCCGGAAGAGAGCAAGGAGTCTCCAGGGAGACTTGCCTCCACTGCAAACACAGAGGTGGCTGAGGAAGCGACGAGCTGAAGCGAGCAGCCCCTCCTCGTGTGATTGCAGCTCCTCACGCCTCTGCTTTATGTTCAGTTTTAAACCTGAGATCATTTGGTTTTGTCATGGGTAGTTTGATTTAAAGATAGAAACGAATGACAAGAGGAGGAACAAGGGAAAGGGAGAGAAACCATGTGGACCCAGAAAAGAAAAAGAAAACAACACTGCAAGGATGACACAGGACACAGACATGCACGAACATAGACCCCTGAGGTATCAGCTTTGCAAACTAGTGCGAGACAAAGGAGAAAGCGAAGAGAGCTGCAGGGAGAGATGTGCTTTGCAGTGGAGGCAGCTCAGTGCCTCCAGCTTCAGAAAGCAGCTTCTCAGCAATCCTGACATTGGGGTTTGGGGGCAAGAGCTTGGCCTCCCACCAGATGGGAGGAAGCAGCCAACCATCTCCAAAAACAAGTCACTTGTGCCCCTCCATGTGCTTGCAGAGCTTCATGTCTGGACAGCTTATCATCCGCTGGATGGAGGGGAGCTGGCCTGGAGGGCAACAGGACCAGGAGAGTCCCAGCACCAGCAAACGCGCTGCCCCTGAGTTTCTCAGGTGTGGAACAAAGGATGTGGGAAGCCAGAAGAACTGCCGCCCCCAAAGGGAGAGTGGTGCCCATACCTGCCAAGCAAGGTAGCTGAGGTGAGGGGGAGCTGAAGGGCTGGGGCAGGCAGGCAAGAACCTCCCAACAAGAAATCCCAACTACCACCAGCCTCCCATCTCTCTTCTGCTGTGGCAGCTTCTGACACCTTCCCCACGCAGCTGGAGGTGACATCCTGCAGCCTTCCATCCACTTCAGGTGACTCCCACCTCTCCCCCTCCAGCAAGGATGGGCAGCCAAAAGGAGGGGAGGGGAAGAGAGGAGGTATGACTGGGATTGTGTGACGGCCAGGATGGGGACAATGCCTGGGACGGGATGATGGCTGGGACGGTGGTAATGGCTGGGATGGAGATGAGGAGAAACACAGACCAAGGTGGGAAGAAGAGGCAGCAGCTTCCAGAAGAGTTTTCTGGCTCAGTTTGTGTCATAAGAAGGTTTTATGGTTTGCTCATTTACTTGTTCATTTCTAGAAAAAGTGCCCAGAAGAGTCTCCTGTCCCCTTGCTGGTATGCCCAGAGAGAAAGGGGAAATCTATGTTGTGGACATTAACTATAGAAGGAGCCACAGGCCTCAGATATTGCTTAGAAACTCGTATTTCAGATTTAAATACCATACACAGTAAAAATAGAGCTGAAAGTACCGCCCCACATTGTCTGCAAATCATTGCCAGAATGAACAGCTTCAATAAATTAAAAACAAAACAAAAAAATTGAAATATTATTTACGTCTCAATAAAAATTGCAGTAAAACCATTTACCTTTTCTTTTGTGTGTGTGTTTTCGGGTTTTTTTTCTTTATATTATATATAATATATATTTATATATGTATAGGGCTGCTCCAGTGCAGCATTTTTAGGATACTGAGCCAGAGAAACACAGCGGAGCATGCTTAGTGCACCAGGGTGCAGGGAAGGGGCAGCTGTGGTCCCCCCTCCAGGTGCTGTGCCCCATCACCACAGCCGAAACTGCAATCCCTGCCACTTCCCCAACTCTTCCCACTTGAGTTTTAGGCCCGAATTTTGAGTGTGGGGTCTCTGAGGGCTGGGGCGCCCTGGGGATGGGCGGGGAAGGACCAGGGTGAGTGCAGGAGGGACACTGAGCATCCGCCGCTATGTTTCCCGACTCTGGAAAGACTCGTCCACCTTCGCTTCGGTTTCAGCGCTTGCGCTCCCGAAAATGCACGCGCAAGTATAAATACACGCCCCGAGCCCACCGCCCCCCTTCCCGCTCCCCCCGGCTTAAATATCCCCCCTCCCCAGCCCCGTCCCAGGTCTCCAGGCACCCCGGATGAGTGTCAGGACACCTCGATGATCTCCATGCTGCCCGAAAAGCTGGACTGTTTGCTGATTTTGCCCAGCTCTTCCCGAGCCCTGCCCTCGGACATGGTCTCCTCGAATTCCATCTGGCAGCTCCTTCGCTTGAATTGCTTCTCGGCGCCGGCCTCCTCATGCCAGCTGTGCCGCCCGTCCCGTGGCTCGGCCCGCGCCTTGTCCCTCAGTCTGATCTCGCACCCGGCCGCCGCTGCGCCGCAGCCGAATGGCGGCGGGTACGGGCCGGCGCTGGCAAACAGGCCCCCGCCCGTGCTGCCGCCAGCGCTGCCGGAGTCCTTGCCGAAGTACCAGCCAGCCTCGCCCGAGGCAGCGCTGGGGGACTCCAGGTGCACCCCGCTCCAGGCATTGGTGGCGGCGCCGGGCGCGGCGGGCGGCTGGCCGAGCCGCGGGGGCAGCCCGTCCTCGGCGCCGGGGCTCTTGCGCGTGGCGCAGGTCCCGCCGACGTTGAGGCTGAGCCCGTGGGCCGGCGAGCCCGCTGCATGCCGGTGCTTCCGCCGCTGCCTCACCTTGGCCTCCAGCAGCAGCTCGGGCCCCGTGGGCCGGTCAGGGCTGTCCGCCCCTGGGGAGAAGGGGCTCAGGCTGCCCGAGCCCGAGGGGCTGTCCAGCTTGCAGAGTTTGGGGGCTTCCCCAGGTCCAGGGGGCCCAGGGGGGTCCTGCCGCAGGCCGGGGGAGTAGGCGGACTTGATGTCCAGGGAGAAGGAGCGCTTCAGGCGGTTGGTGTCCTGGATGCGCTCGGAGGAGAGGTGCAGGCCATTGAGCCCCTGCTGCAGGCTGGTGGGTGACAGGACCTTTGGGGTCCCGCCCTGCCGCTCGGGGTCACTGGTGGGGGACGCCGAGCCGGTGCTCCTCGGCACATCCTCGGCCTTCTCTGAGGTAGGTGTTGGGGGATGCCGGCTGCTCTCAGCCACCTCTGCTGGGTCCTGCTGCGCATCCCCCTCGCTCCAGTCGCCCTTGGACTTCAGGGCCTTGAGGAGCTTCAGGCTCCTCTCGTACTCCAGGAGCTGGCCCAGGAAGTTGAAGTTGGGCGAGATGGATGGGCGACGGTCCTTAACAAACCTGCCGAGAGGCACAGACAGCCCCGTTGGTGCTTGGTCCTTCAGCGGGCAACCCCTCCTCTCTCAGCCTCTTTAGGGAGAAGAGGCATCATCAAGAACCTTCTGACCAGACTCTCCAAAGAAAAGGATCTTGGGGAATCACAGGGCCTTGAGATGTCTGAGGTTTAGAGCTGGCACTGCCTCCCCACTCCCTTTTACCACTCCCAACCATTCCTTGTTGCATGCATTTCATGACGGGAGGTTTGGTTTGGTTTTACTGGGACCCAACCAAGGCAAGACAGAGCTTCTAGGTGCCCTGACCCTCTCCTTCTGGGCTCAGCCTGCTTTCCTTCCCTGGGGTGAAGCATACTGGCATAACCCCCCAGTACCCTCAGGGGAAAACTCACCTGTAAGCATCATCTGATGACATACCCATGGTCTTCATGATGTAGGCAATGGCAATGGTGGCTGACCGGGAGATCCCAGCCAAGCAGTGCACAATCACCTGGCAGCTGGATACCTTGGCTTTGTCTGGAGCATGGCAGAGGAAACAGAGTGAACAATGATGGTGAGCAAAATGGTTCCAGCCTCCCTCTCCAAGCCCCAGCCCCTTTGCGTGACAGGACAACAGTTGCTGCGAGCAAGACCAGGGAGGACAGAAGAGTTCAGGTTGTGAAGGCTGAGAATTGGAGGGTCTGCAACCATAAGAAAAGCTCACCAATGAATTCAATGGACTTGTCCAGCCAGGGAAGCAGCTTCTCACAGTAGTTGTCATTGACAGGAATGCGCATGAAGTGACTATCACAGATGAAGTCTGGCTTGGGACAGGAGTTGCTGGCATTTAGGACATAGCTTATCCCATTCTGTGTCATCAGGTCCTGGTGGGAAAGAAGCCATCAAATGATCAGCTGAGTTCAGCCCTCACCATGTACTGAAGGTCTGTCTTGCCATGCACGCTCCCTGCCTTCTCCCATCCCAGCATTTTCTCCTGTGGGTCTCCTAGTTGATGATAATACAGCAGAGATCGGCTGAAAAGATTGTATCAATTTAGATGACACAGGTTTCAACCTCAGCAGATCTTTATTTTGGTCTAAGTAAAGTGAGCAAGGCCAAAGACACCTGGAAAGGAGTTCCAGAGGGAAAAACCCAACAACCCCTGTATGAGAGAAATAGGAAAATACAAGAAAAAAAAAATAGCAAAAACTCTGAATGCTGTGAATGTATCAGCTGAGGGAGAAAGGAGACATCTCACCAACAGGGTGGAATGAGTCACTGGTAGCACCCTACATTAACCAGTGTGGCCAGAAGATGCTCTATCCATAGACAACTGTGAGGCCTTGTGTGGGCAATGCTTCTCTTCTCCAGCACATGGCCACATTGTGGGGATGGCAGAAAACAGTTCCAAAACATGGACAAAACCCTCCAAGGAGGTAGGGAGGGAAGGAAACCATCGATTTCCCTGCCTGGCATTGGCTGCTCAAGATTTTGGCCCCAGGATTTCAGCCCTGTGTCTCCAGTGGCCCATTCCTGCCCTTCCAGCAGGCTTGATGGAGCCAGTCCAGCTCCCAGGCTCACATTCTTGTCATTTTTTTCTTTCCTTTCCTTCTACTCCCTGTGCATAATTTCTCTCTCCCTCCTTTCTGTCTCCAACTCCAGTCTGGTGTCATGGTCTCCCTCCCTCCCTGCATGCCATGGATGAGGACGCCTGGCTGGCTCCCTCATGGCTGCAGTAGGCAGATGCTTGGCAGCACTTTATCTACAATTCCTCTTTCTTCTCATCATTACTTTTCCTTTAAACAAAATTCCTTCCCTGGTGTGACATCACAGAACAGCCTTTCTGGCACCTTTTAAAGGGCACTGTGCGATCTTCCCACTGGGAAGGAGAGGAATCCTTAATAGCTTCAACCCTCTGCATGACAGGGGTCCCCAGTGGGACAGGGCAGACGTGTCCCCTCAAGAGGGCTGTACCTTGTTCAGGACATCCTTCTGGGAGCCCAGGTAGAGATGTGGCAGGATGCGCGTGGGGCCAACGTTGGCCACAGGCAAGCACGGCTGGGAGATGCTCATCGGCAGGATGGCAGCTGGCTTCCCCTCACAGAGCCCTGGGAAGCAGGAGGAGAAGGTGGCAAAGCCTCCTGTGGAGAAAATGGGGACATTGAGCTTGGAGCAGCACGGCTGAGGTCATCAGTAGCTGGCATCCTGAGGCCCAGGCTGGGGACAAAGTGGGGATAACCCTGCAGCCCTGAGGACAGAGCCTCCAGGGGCAAGAAGCCACCAGCCACCACCAACCAGGGCACATACATTGTGATGGCCATGACACACACACAGAAAGGAATGGAGAACCAGCTCTGACTTCTCCCTGTCACAGCTGGATATTAAATGCACATGTGAGGCATCCCACACCCTCACCAATGAAGCTGGCTCTTCTCAACTTCATTCAGACAAATAACAGGAAGAGACAGTCTTTTTCTTGGCTCCCTACTATTCTGAGGACAGGATCACCTTCTGATACCAAAATCTATCAGGGCAGGATGACAACAAGCCAGCCCACTGAGACACAAAGCTCCTGGGGCCTGGGAGGTCAGCCCAAACCTTTCTGCACTGGCTACACTTTGTGATCACATCATGATTTCTGAGAGACACCCCCTCTGCCCAGCCCTGCCAAGCCCATGATTTCTGACACACCATGGTGCCATAACGATACTTGCAGGCCACTGCTGTTTCTCATGCTCTGACCTTGCTGAATGTGGCAGCAAGCAGTGTCCAGTTTACTGAACTGGGCTGTTGGGCAGTCACACTCAGCCTGAGCATCTTGAAACCCAGTGTTGAAAGAAAACCCCCAGCTGAGGTTGCAGTAGCTGGCATGTGACAGCCAGAGGTATTGTCACAGTGTCTGGCATGGTCAAAAGCCTGAGAGCCAGTCCTGAAAGCTTGAGCAGGGCTGCCCTTGCCCTGCTTGCACAGCAGGCAGCAAGGAGAGCTGAAAAACTCCCAGTGCAGTTGCATGTCCTGCACAGTTGCATAAGACCACTGATCCTGATTTGCTCTCACTTGCTGATCCTATACTCCAGGACAGAGCCAGGTCTGGCTGGCAGTGGCCTAATTCCACTCCCCTCCAGCTGAGGACATCTGGGTGGCAGCTTCATGCAATGGAGAGGAGCTTGAGTCATATCTGCCTCAAGTCTCCCTTGAGGTTTTCCCAGTTATGTGAATGAGCAGATGCAGCTTGACATCACCCAAAGGGCAGAGAGGACTTGAGGGCTCGAGTGCCTTTGACTGTCAAAGGGACCAGTATGCTCCCACGAGATCCTTCTGAAAGCCCAAGTCTCTGGACTGAGCACCCTGAGAATCCCTGGCCCATCTCCACAGCTTAACAAGACCTTTTAACAAGCCAGTCCCTCTCCCCTTTGGAAGCAGGGCAGCCTTGGCATATTCTCAGTTTACCTTCTCCAGCACTTTGGCAACATTTCTGCTGATCATCCTGGAGCACCCTTCTGGTTGCTGGTGTGGCACCCACACTCTAGAGGGGCATGACTGGTGCTGCAGACAACTCATCTGACATGTTTGTGAGATGAAGGTGATGGAGAAGCCAAAGCAGTGCACAAAATCATGCTCACACCACTTGGGAACATCCGAAGTCCTGCATCACACTCCACCTCAGCACCTCCTGGTGTCAGCTCCCACTGGCCTAAGGAAAAAGTGTCCTTCAACAAACCTCTTTCCTCCCCTCTGTTTTCTTGTCTGGCAGCTAACACACCTCCCAGCTTTAAAACCCAGTCAAGACAGGAGGGGTAGAGTTAAAGCACCTTATCTTTTCCAGCACTTCTTTTTCTCTTGCTCCCTCCGAAATGACATCACCCCTCAACTGGGACATTAAATCAGAGCAAAAGCAGGAGGCCCAGCACAGGTGCAGCATAGCTCTGGTTACTGCTCATCCCTGCAGTGTGGCCCCCTTGCCAAGGGCTGTCCATCGCTAGCCAGAGCTCTGCATGGACACATGTGACCTCCCTGCTTTGCCCTGTGCTGATGCCTGGGGGATGCTGGGGCAGAAACCCTTGGGAAGTATTTCCTTCAGCTGCCCCTAGAGAAGCCTGCAGCACTTGAGCTTGAGTGGGGCACAGATCTGACCCCGGGCTTGTGTGAAACAACATGGGAATTTTTCTTGAAGGAACACAACACGTTTTTGGGGAGCAGGGCGCACACAAATGCAGCCCCAGGGATCAGTGCCTGCTCTGGTCCATAGGTGCCCAGCCTATGTGCACTCACTCACATCCATCAGGAGCTGCCCAGGGCAGTGGATGGGTCTGTATGGCTCTTTAAGGTGATCTCATAGTTCAAGCAGGTCAGGGCATGCTGCTCGCTGCCCATTGCCTGTGCCCACCACACTCAGCTGGCAGCAGATCCTCTGCCTGGGGAAATCCAGGCAGGAGCTAAGGGGGCTGTGAAGCAGGCAGGGAGTCTGGAGAGTGGCAGCAGCATCCCCAGCTGCAGTGCCTACCTGGGCAGGCTGCCACAACTGGAGGATGCTGCCACCTGAAATGATGCCCATAGCTCAGCTCACTTGTCCTAAGCAAAGCCTCAGCCCAGTGTCTGGGAATCCAGGCATGCTCCCAGTCCCCCTGTCCTCATCTCCCCCATACTTGCAGCTGCTGAGGGCAGTCTGGGCTTGGGGGAAACCCTAGAGATGGGGCCAGGTACTTGACACCATCCCAACATGGAAGCGACGCTCACCCCACCCTGCAGCGGCTGCTCCCGCGTGCCTTTCATTTTTAGAAAGTGAAGCAGCTCTTCAAACAATCCCAAAGGCAGTGAATGTCTCTGGCTGGGCTCCAACTGATACTTGGGCTTCCCTCCCCTCTATGCCCCAGGCCATGGATCCCAGGTTTTGCTGGGAGAGAGCAGCAGAGCACAATGAGGTGAGGAGCCAGGGTAGCACCAGTTCTAACCTTTCCTCTTTTATTCACAATGCTCAGGCCAGGAGCACCATTTCTCTTGGCACGTGTGGAATCAAGCCTAGGAAGGATTTGTATCTGTCATGGTGCAGGTGTTTGGGGATCTCTGGTTTCTTTTGGGTGCTCCCCGACCCTGGTGAGGGCTTGTTGGCAAGGAGCTGGTCCTTGTGTGGCACAGCCCAGTGAGCTGCTCCTGGTTCCAGCATGGAGGGCTCTCAAAACCATTCTCTGGAAAAAACACTGCCTGCCTGCCTACTGCAATTACCTGAGGCAGCAATGATGCCCAGGAAGAGAACTGGGAACTGGAAGGGAAGGGAACCAGAACAAAAGTGGGGATGCTTTCACTGCTGCTGCTGAAAATGGAGGAAAGAGGAGCCAAGAACCAGCATCAGACCAGTTCTAGGAGGCCTAGGAAGTGAAAATCACCCTCCTGTAAGTGAAAATCACACTGAGGCACAGGGTGTTGCAGCAACTTAGTGCCAGAAGAGTGCAACAACGGGGACCTTGTATCTCCCTCACCCAAGGTTTCTCTCACAGGGTGCTGACCACCCTTCCACCTCCTGCTGTGTCCTGCAGAGACCCCTCTGGGCCAACCCACAGCCCTGCTCTGCATGGCCCTTCTGTCAAACAGAGGAGAGGGGAAAACACCACAACTTCTCCCCTATCCCCATCTCTGCCAGGCCCTCCCCTCTGCACATTTTCCAGCTGAACATCTATGATAACCACCAGTGAAACTGGATTTATTGTGAGAACAGATGCTGCAGAGGGAAGGCAGAGAGCCTGGCAATCTCCCTGAGCCTGTCCACCAGGGAGGACAGGATGCCAGCAGCATCTTTGAGCAGGCTCCTGTGGTACCTGCACTACTGCTGCAGCTGTTGGGAGCTGTGTGACTCCTCCCCTCCAGCAGCAAAGGGCACAGGGAGGAGGCTCTGCCCTCTGCCAGGCCCTGCACCAGTGCCTGCCTACGGCTGCAACCAAAGTGAACAAAAACAGACAGGGAAGGAGATTACAAGGTGTAAAGACAGAGATGCACTCCTGAGCTGGGACCCTGACACAGCTGGAGAAGTCTCCACTGCCCTGGCTGTCACCAGCTGGTTTCTGGGGACATCCTAGTCATAGCTGGGTCACTGACACCTGTGAGTTGCACTGTGCCCTTCTCTGCCAAGGCTGGGCAGCAGTGGTGGTGCAGAGAAGGTGACACAGAGGGTGACAAAGTCCTGGCTAGGGACAGGGATGTGGTGTGGCATTATTTTCTTCTGGTGGTAAGCCTTGGCTTTAGGGATTTACAATCCATTAAGCTGCATGAGATGCTAACAGAGACACTGCTGAGGATAAAAGGAAGGTGTGGGACACATGAAGCATGGACATCCCAGCTCCCTGTTGTTCCCTGTGTCCTTCCCTGCACTGAGGCCATCTTTTTAGGCTGGAGGTGTAAAGTGGAGCTGGGGCTTGAGAAACCTCTTATACCTTGCTCTGATGGTTGCACTCTGCACATTCATCTCCAGCCCCATGGACTCACCACCTCATTCAGAGGCCTCTGAAAAATCCCAACAGCTCTGGCCTTAGTGCTGTGCCCTGATGACAGCAAAAAGCTGCAAAAGGGCTACCCAGGGCACCTGCCTCACCCCAAACCTGCTCTTTAAGAGAGCCACATGCCTCTTGAACACCCCCAGCCCCATGAGTCTCATAGAAGTTCCCCTAGAGACACACTGAGCAGCATGTCCTATTCAGCAGCCTCCCCTATGCATTGCAGGCTCAAAGATCCCCACCAAAACACAGGGCAGAGGTGACATGTCACAACTGCTGTGCCATCAGTTTGTGGCAGCAAGGAGGAGGGGATCCGGAGCTGGAAATCCCTCCTGGGCCAGCAGCTGCCACCCCCCCACTCCTCACCTCCAGCTGTCACACCGGAAGCTAGAAGGAGACCTGCAGGGCTATTAAAGATGTGTTTTACAGCCCATCCTCATGGCTGCAATAATGAGAGTTGGAGAGCAGCAGCCGGAGCTGTTCAGAGAGCGGCTTCCCAAGCAGCTGCCAGAGGTTTTGCGGCAGCCTGCAGCCTCACCAAGAGGTTTCACGCCCGTGCCTGTGCTGGAGACCCTCTGCCCCGCTAGAGCTCCTGGCAGCTGAGGGGGCTGAGAGAGTCCAGGCTCTGCCCAGCTCTCATTAAAATGCCTGTGGTG